GTGGGAAAAAAAGACGGTGGCCTCGTTCTTCAGAAGGACAGGTCATTACGCAACAATTGTTTTAAAGGATCGAAAAACAGTTACTGCAGAGTGGTACATTAACAATTGTTTGCGACTTGTCTTGGAAAAAGTTCGGGAGAAACGAGCTCGCAGTAGGATCCTCCTGCACTACGACAACGCCTCGTCGCACACCGCCAAGCAAACAATCGACGACTTGGCGACGTCAGACGTGGAATTACTGGGTCACCCGCCCTATAGCTCCGACCTCGCAGCTTGCGATTTTTATTCATTTCCAAAAACAAAAGAAAAACTTCGAGGAAAACGTTTTATCGACGCCAAGGGAGCAGTGGCTGCGTTTCAAAATGCCGTCGAAGAGACCCATGAGGACGAGTGGGCAAAGTGCTTTTCTGAGTGTTTCCATCGGATGCAGCGATGTATTGATGTAAATGGACACTATTTTGAAAAGATATAATACAACTAATAACTTGCTCGTTTGTTCAGTGTATGATTTTCTAAGAACTTTCAGTGTCACCCTCGTATTTGAACATACGCTCTTAAACTGCCATTTCACGCTGGTAATCTGTGAAAGCGTTTTCACTCCCTGATCGAGCCGATCCATTCCTGCTACATCTATAAGATAGCTGCAGCAGATAGTTCCGGGTCTGGATGTTAGCCCTTGTGCAGTTAATGTATGTAAACTACCTCCTCGATACAAGATAACAATCATATAAGGATAACGTTTATTAGAAAAGTAAAAATTAAAACATCAAAAATAAATTTCGTAAAATTATATAAATATATTTCCTAAATATACAACAGTATGTTTCAATTCGTCCTAATGATCTCCTTCATACCCCTTTATTAAATTCCTGTTCATCTTAAAGAACAGGTCCCAGAAAGCCATCCGGTCGTGGAATGGTCTCCTCTTCATAGTCAGTTCCTTGTCTATGTCTAGGTAATTTAAAACATCCTTCTCTACTGGCGTCCATTTCACTGGCAACAGTTCCGATGTTTCAGGAGTGGGGTCCCTGAAGGTATTAAGAATACTTTAAATGATATTGTAAAATAAAATCAACTGTTACATAATATTCGAGAGTCAAACTCCAGGGGTTAAGCAATCGCTGTAATAGAAAAGAAAAAGAAAGACATTACAAAACATTAATTTTACAAATTAAAATAAAACAACATATTAAATAATTATGTAAGAGCTTAAAAAAACTGAAAATATGCGTTGATCATGAGCTGTGATAATCCTGATAATTATTTTATTTTATCCCGGTGATCATGATCAGGATCCAAGGATAAAATTATTAAATGCTGCATTGTGATCATTTCTTGATACGAGTACAAATTTTCAAGTCAATCGGTCTTCTACATTAAAAGATTCCTTTACATAGATAAATACACACGAATCTAATTAAAAATTAAACGGATTGCACTAACAAAGATGGCACCGAGTCAGCACAATGCTGCAGTAACAGAGTTACCGCAGCGCTGACATTCTGTCGGGGCCACATAAGTCGACTCGCGAGCAATCGCTGGACATAATTTATTACCTATTTTTTATTTTATTTATTTAGGACAATCAATAAGGCGTACGCGAACACAATGTAAATACTATAAATTACAGGAAGGTATATATATATAAGTGTCGTCTTAATTAAAGGTTGTTACGGCATGCAATGTGGACAACGAATATTTTTCTTAAAACTTACAACTACAAACTTAAAACTAAGCCTAAATGTTAGTTAACAGTAATATATTGCCTCTGTAACCTGTTTATGGTGGCGTGGTGACCCAAATTAGATTTACTGCATTCAACTGAAAAGGGGACGTATCGGCTGGCACGCACTAGCTGGAAGGTACATTGAAATTTATTGCACTTAGTAGATATGGACAGTCCACGATTTTGTCCAGCAACATGAAATCCATCAAAGGTCTCCGCTGTCGCAAGCTACTTAATTTAAAATACGTCAGTCGGTTTTCGTATGAGGGTAGATCCTTTATTTTGTAAGTTTGGCACGAAAGATGCCACGAAAAGCGTTTTTTGACTTATAATCACTAAGTACTGCAAATTTTATAACTTATAATCATTAAGTACTGCAAAGGTACGCTTAATAGGATAGGGAATAAAGAGGTAGGCTTCAAATAGGCTTTAAAAATTTCTGTTATATGTTCAACGTGTGTAACTTGTGTCTGTTTTTGGCATCGTAGATCCTAAACGGAATAACCGATTTAGATTTAGTTTTCTTTTGTTTGAAGGCGACCGTATGTTTTAACTATGATTCAAGGAAATCTGTTCTGCCGTTTGAAGATTATCAGCTGTTTTTATTTAGGGTTTTTTTTAAATTTAAGTTATCGTAACTATAATTCTATGATTCGGTTAATATGCAGTAATATAATACGTTCGTTTATAACTACACTGGTTAACTGTTTTCAGTAAAAGCACACACGGTACGGTACTCCCTAAGGCAGCAACTATATACTAACTTGCCGTAATTTGCAAATCAGCGCGAGCGGAGCCGCGAGCGGTCGCTAGTTAAAATATCAATCTAAAGATATTGCAGTAATTAGGCGTGTACTTGATTCGCTTTATGATTAGGCATGTTGCGATTTGATACGCCGGATATAACAACAAAACATTGAAGGTGTATGATACTTATCAAGATAAAGGTATTTTTCTATAAAACTCAAGTTACGAAAGATCTTAAAGTCCGCTGGACAGGTTATAGTGTGTGCGCAACACAGGTGCACTCTCTATTAACTCACTCTCATATTCCGATGGGACGGCAAACCGCCACGACCGGAGGGAATTCAGGCGCAGGACCAACGGCTTTACTTACTTTCCGAGGAACGGGGGTGAGCCATTGCCAACTTCTGCATCAGAGTCAGGATCGCAGTGATCCTGACTCTGATGCTGCTACTGGGAACTAGATATGAGCGCCGATGGCCAATTCCACGGCGGCGGCGTGGTCTGATAATTTCCACAACGACGGCGGCGTCGCGGCGGCGCGTCGTGGATGGCCGTGGGCCTTTTTTATCAGGGAGAGATTTCTTAAAAAAAACCATATTGTAGTTACTAAAAAAAATCTTTATATTTCTTAATAAATGAACTTATTTGTTAATTAAAATTTTACAGTCTTCTTATTAATTGTATTTTCAGTTGAAGTAAAACTGAGCATTTTCAATCACAGCACTATTATCTATATTTATTATAAAAAACTAAAAAAAAATATTTATCATATATATCCATTCCACTGTCAAAATATGTATTTAAATATCTAAATTCTATAATAATGTAAAAAACTAAAAACATAAAACCATCATATTTTAATTATAAGTAATTATGCATTTAAAGTAGTATAATGTATTTATAATTAGTTAGATAGTTTCACACGTTCTTTCAGATACATTTACAGATAAAATAATCATTTGAGTGAGTTTTGTTGGCGCTTGATACTTTCAAGTCTCAATCAAATACAGAAAAAAAAATATTAAAATAACAATAACAACAGCACAAAAACATCAAAAAGGAAATATGCATATCAATGTCCAAAAACACAGTTTATACCTTTAAGGATTCTTTGCAAAATACATAATTGTCATGGATAAATACTATCCTATTTAGCCTCAAAGGCTTTAATCGTGAACGTTTTGCGGTTATTATGAGTCCGGCTGTGGAAAATACTCTCTCGCTCGGCGTGCTGGTGGCTGGTATATTCAAAATTGAGCGTGCAAGAGCATACAGTGATGGCATAGAAGTTTTCCTGTCTTTCCAGTATTGTAAAACGTTTCCACCGTAAGGCTCTAAATCTTCAGGACATGCTGTACTGAAATATTTCCAGCATTCATTTTCTACATCACTCCCGGAATCACGTTGAGTGGAGCTGTGTTTTCGCGCCAAATCCAGCAAAAAGTTTGAAGAACTAGCAGAAGAAGTCGGCCCAGCTTTAGCGTAATCAATAACTTCATTTTGACGAATATCTTCTGTTGTCAAGCGACTTCTAACCATTGTTGATAGGAATGAAACCTTAGTGACTTCTCTTTTTTGCATGAACTCATCAATTTCATGAATTGCATGAAATCTACAATCAAGCAAGGTTGCCGCAACGACCACATCGGTTAAAGGAAATCGGGATTCCAGACCCTCAAGCATGTTATTTTTGAGCCTAGCTATTACGAGAGGCTCATCATCATTCGATTCTTCAAGCAATCTTTTCACTTCTGACCGAAACACTAGAACCAGATTCATAGTAGGTTGGGTTTCTGAACTTAGAACATCAACAATTTTCTTAAAATTCTCTAGAAACTTTATCAGAGCCTGAATGGTTTCGTATTCGGTATCATGTAATACGAGATCATAGCGTCCTATTTCGTTAAGAAGTGTGTTTATAGGCTGTCGATTTGCGTCATTACAAATGCTTTTTAGCATCATCAAAATGCTATGCCATCTTGTGCTTGTGCTCGTTTTAATAGTCGGAGGGGGCTGTAAACACTGTCTAGAACTTGAATCTCTTTCAGGTGTCTCAGTTGTTTCGGATTCAGAGTCAGTTGAGTCGGCATTTTCCAGATGTTCGGCGAATTCTTCAATAGAAGAAAGCATCTGTTGCTGATTTGAAGATGCAGCGGCTTCAACACGAGGTGCCCTGTATCGAACATGCTTAACAAGCCTTTTGCATTTCGTCAAAATTTTGGATATTTCTCTCGTGTTTTCAATGCCATTTACATTGATTAGATTATGTACACCATGGCCAATGCAGAGGTGATTATTAAATGCTAATAAGTTTGCAGCTCGCTTCATATTACTACCCGCATCCGTGACTAAATAAATCTCTTTTTGGTCTATTTTAAAACTGCGCAAAACCTCCATAATTTCGTCACGGATTGTTTGGCCAGTGTGTTTCTTGGTTACTTCTTTAGTAGCCAGTGTAAATTTGATGAGAGTCATGTCTTCAGATATAAAATGATACGTACAAGTAATATAATTGCGTCGTCTGTATTTATCGGTCCACATATCGACAGTCAAGGCACCGAAGCGAGCTTTGTTTCGAAATGAAAGCATTTATATACGCCAGCATACTGTTGTACACATCTTCCAGTCCTTCTCGTGCAATATTGTGTCTCGATGGCAAGTCTGCATCGGAAACAATAACGCTGTATTTTTTTAAAAAGTCGATCATTGCATCATTTTCTACAGTATCAAATGGCATCAGTGATCTAGCAAACCAAAGAGCCAAATCTCGGGACAGCGACCATTTATCGCTCTTACCACTTCCATCTCTGATTCTGCCACTGATTCTTGGAGTGAAAAACTCTTTTATGGTCGAAGTTCGTGTTTTAAGTGTATCGTCTAAGCCATGTGCATCTTTTAAATGTCTGAGAAGATTACTTGTGGCTATGCTTTTACCGTAAGCTTTCACTATGACCCGGAAAAATAAAAAATAAAATTATTACCTAAACGCTTAATACCTCACATTCAAAATGAATTTACCTATTTATTTTTAGTGATGAAATTCCAGTCTACCAAGAATATTAAACAAATGTAGGTAAGTAACTTACTTTGAAAACAAAGCATCCTCGTCTTCATTTTTAGCCTTTCTTAGGCACACTCCACAAAACACATTTTCACCTAGCACAGTCCTTCGTTTTCCGTTTACTTCTATCGCTAGTTGATTTCCAAATTCCAAATTCCAAATTCTGTCCAGCAAAAACTATGCTTATGTTTGGTGGAAAGATTTTTCATTGGAGTCACATACATATTTTTTATTTTCATTTTATAAACATCAATAGTAGACGAAGTTGCTGCCATTATTAACACCACACAACAATACACGATCACTCGGTGAAATATTCGACTGGAATGTGTGAGCTATGAGCGCTGCGCGACGAGCGTGGCCAGTCGACTAGGGGAACTAATGCGGTCGGGCCGAGCGTGCGAGCGAGAAAGCAAGTTGCGACTCGTCACGACGGCGCGCCGAGTGCTTTACTGGGAACTTCTTGACAGAAAAACCCAATCACACAGTAGTGCTTACGACTACTAGATCAACGAGGTGATCAAACGTCAAGCAAAGTTTAATGGTTAACAGCCTTACTCATAAAAGTCCGTGTGAGAGAGAAGGGAACGGAAATATTGATATATAATATATATCTTCACTAAATGATAGTATAGAAAAAGAATGAAAGAAGAGACAGGATTATCAACCTTTATAAATAAGACTTCATTTTTATTAGTTTTGGAACTTAGATATAGATATGGACTCTTTTTACGTACCCATATTTCACGAAATTAGTCCACAACTTCGTGATTCTGTCGATGACGAGCTGATCTTCATCGGATGGAGTGTCCATTATTGATACATCAAAGAGGTAGCCAATTTCATCAGCGTGGGCTGCACCAACTTCAGTTATATTGTTTTTGAATTTATAGAGGTTTCTGCCGCCTGAGTATGAGAATATATAGTGGTAGACCATTCCATCGTTTTCTAGATACTTCTGTAAGCTTCTGTGTACTGGGTGATTGTAGGAAAAGTCAGAATCAAAGTCCATCAGATCCCATTTTAAGTCAACGCTCATATCTTCATCTCCGATATAAAACTGCCGAACCAGTGTTATTAGGTCTTCATTGTCGCTTAAATCGAAAGTCTTTTCCAAGTTTATCTTAAACACATTATCTTCGTAGCCTGATGCTTTGTTTCCATAACTAACAAGCATTTCTCTGTTATTGTAGCCGGCGAGAATTTTTACATCCTTAGCTTTTGGTATCTGGCTATTGATGGGGTGTACTTCCACAAATTTCTCCACACCATCGAAGTCTTTTTCAACACATGGAAGGAACGTAAGAGAGAGCTCTGTCACAGCCGCTATAACTAGCTTCGGTTCGACTGTTGATAGGAAGTTCAGGGCGTCTGCGTTGTCTTCAGCTTCATAGCCAAGATGTTCGACAATTGTCATTGGAGCTCTTGTGTCGGCTTCTGGTACCGCCGACGGGCACAGGGTTGTTCCGCTTTGTATTATAACTTTGTCGAACAATTTCTCCTGCGCTGAATGAAGATGGAAGTCAACAGACTTTCCTCCAGCGCTCTCCCCAATTATTGTCACCTTGTTTACGTCACCTCCGAACGCGTCGATATTGTCTTTCACCCATCGCAAAGCGCTCAACTGATCTTTCAAACCTTGGTTTCCGGGTATTTCCGGTGTGTCCAGACACATGAAGCCGTAAGGACCCACTCGATAGTTGACTGTGACCAGAATGATGTCATTTCTCACTAAATACTTGGGCCCATATAAGAAGCGTCCGGCGAAACCTCTTTGGAATGCTCCTCCATATATCCAAATGAGGACTGGGAGACGGTTTCTAGAGGTAGCCTTGTTGGGTACGTATATATTGAGGTGAAGACAGTCTAGGGATCCTACTATTTGGTTTACGAACTGTTCAACTTGCGGACATATTGCTGAGTCGTCGTAGGCCTCGAACACTTCGTCGAAATCGGGGTAAGGTAAAGACGGCTGTTAAAAATACGAAAATTTTAATTAAACTAATTGCACTCATGATTTTTTATTCAAATAACCAGTTCAGTTTTTTCTATTATGTCAATAAGATCAAAATATATTCATCAGGATGTAATTTGTATCTTAATGTAATTTCAAAAAAAAAAAAGAGCAAAGCTCGGTCATCCAGGTACTATTAAATTATAGGCGAAACTCATTTTCTACAAGATCATGTAATTCTGACCTGACCTTCTCTTCGTTTTCTCTTATATATATATATATAAAGAGAATATATATATATATATATATATATATATATATATATATATATATATAAAGAGAAAAAGTCCAGGCAATGGCTAGCAAGCAGCTCATTCGTGTCGACCTCACCCCGCCGCAGGTTAAGCTGTCCAATGTACAGATGGTCCACCTTACTCATGCTGCGTGGTGTTTATGGCCCTCTCTTCCGCGTTCGCTATATCCAAGTAGTTCTTCGCCATCGTGGCATGGGTCTTCGCTCCGCTTGCCAAACATCCAACAAGTAGCATGTATGTGTATATAATAAATATACCTAAATAATACATAAACTTTGTAGTGGCGATGTAAGAATATCTACTACCCCATATCGTACCGCGGGCATCGTAAGAGGGAAATTGAAACAAGTCATCTTCTTGATAACAGTTCAAAATTATAAAAAAACAGTTCAAACTTATAGCAAACCCACCTCGCACGCGTGGGCACTATGGCAAAATTCCCCCTATGAGGAAATTTATATGGGGTGGGTAGTGTTGAGATGTACAGCAGTGGACTCTTGTGGGCTGTTATGGATGTATGGTGCGTCAACTTACCCCGAACGGATTGCTCTGGTTAACCCTCGCATAGGGAATGCCCATGAACATGGAGTAGTCCCCATCAGACGCCTGGAGACCCCGGATCAGGCCCTTCTTTGTGTTCACTAGCGGGTCCAACCTCGGTGACCCCCACACTGCACTAACCAAGATGAGATTTGCCAGTACGACCTTCATCTCTGCGGTCTCTCGGCAAAAACATATTCAGTGGCTTTCGAGCACTCGTTTTAAGATCAAATAGTATCTCAAGTGTTTGATAAGATGATTGTGTGCCAGTCATACTTATCTCTACGTATGCATATAGTGCATCTATATATTTACAAATAAATAAAATTGAGGGGTCTGTTCGTAATGCCAAAATAAAATCATTTTACTAAATGCATATGAAATGATATACGGTACTTATAACAAAAACATAACTTTTAGAATTTTGTCTGTCCATCTGTGTGTCTGTTTATTTGTTCCGGCTAATCTGTGAAACCGCTGGTCCAATTTTGATAGGACTCACTGACAGAGCTGATGGATAAGGAGTAACTTAGGCTACCCTGACCTTACGTGTCGCAAGATGTCACAGAAAGGAGCGGACGATCGCCTTGGTGAGGCATTTCGGATCGCTTGCACAACGCGTCGATCTACGCTCCGCTTATTTGTTATTAAACGTTAATAGGCCGTATTTAATGACCGTGCTGTGTAGAGAACGCACTTCCCTCTATCATCCCGTGGATGTCGTAAGAGGCGACATAGGGAAACAAATTAGAAGATGGGCAGTAGCATCTTGGTAACAACGGGACATCCTGGAAACGAGGCATTCCATCTTAGTCCTTACGAGTGACCAACGCTTTCTGCATTTTATTTATTTATTAAGGTACACAAAACAGAATGACACCAAAATATGAATAATTGAAAATAATAAATGCAAAGTTACAATCTGGGTGGTATTCCAAAACATATGCACACAACATGATATTTGGTAACAATAACGGGTTTATAGCAACCTTACTTATAAACTTACTATAGAAAGAAATCATTATATACTTATAAACTTGTGTTGTGAGAAATTTAGAAAAATTAAGTCTTTATTAAAATAATGTTCATTTGCCTTTATATTTAAATTTAAATTGAATGCCGTATTTACAAAGTATATTTAATACGGATTGTTTGAAATTTTTTAATTTGTTATTAAAAATGTCTATATTTCTACATAATCAAAGTCATATAGAAAAACGATAAACTAAAGTAAAAGTAGCTAGCTAGAAAAGGGTATAACCTTGACAAATGAAAGAAGGATGGGGGATATGGGTTAATAAGGGAATGAATAATTTTGAAAAGGCAAATCATATCCTGATATTTACACCAAGTTTATAGTGATATTTTATTGTTAAACTTTTTAAGTTTTTCTTCATAGCAGGACAGACTTCTATTTTAAAGACTTCTATTTAAATTTCTTTTGAACATGTTTAATACGATCTACGTGGACAGCGTTGTATGGAAACCAAATAATTATGTTATACTCTAATACTGCGTACTAGGGAACAGTACAAAATAAGAAAGCTTTGCAGATTTTTAAAAGTCTTGGCAGCTCTACACATAAAACTAAGAAATTTTGTACTTTTAACAGTTGGGCTGAAAAGTTCGTATCGTTTTATAGAAAACACATTTTTTTGGCAAAATTCGATTTTATTATTCAACATAGTTGCCATCGAGGGCGATACACCGATTATAGCGATCTTCCAACTTTTCAATACCATTTTTGTAGTACGATTTGTGTTTAGCCTCAAAATAGGCCTCTGTTTCGGCGATTACTTCCTCATCGGCTTTAAATTTCTTTCCAGCGAGCATTCTCTTGAGATCTGAGAACAGGAAAAAGTCGCTGGGGGCCAAATCTGGAGAATACGGTGGATGCGGAAGCAATTCGAAGCCCATTTCATGCAATTTTGCCATCGTTTTCATCGATTTGTGACACGGCGCATTGTCTTGATGAAACAACACTTTCTTCTTCTTCAAATGGGGCCGTTTTTTCGCGATTTCGTCCTTCAAACGCTCCAATAACGCTATATAATAGTCGCTGTTGATGGTTTTTCCCTTTCCAAGATAGTCGATGAAAATTATTCCATGTGCATCCCAAAATACGGACGCCATAACCTTTACCGGCCGACTGTTGAGTTTTTCCACGCTTTGGATTCGGTTCATCGCGTGCAGTCCATTCAGATGACTGCCGACTGGACTCCGGAGTGTAGTGGTGGATCCATGTTTCATCGATTGTCACATATCGACGCAAAAATTCACTTCTATTGCGGTTGAACAGCTCCAAACATTGCTTTGAAGCATCGGCACGTTCTTGTTTTTGGTCGATTGTGAGCTCGCGCGGCACCCACTTTGCACATAGCTTTCGCATACCCAAATATTCATGAACGATATGTCCAACACGTTCCTTTGATATCTTTAGAGTGCCAGCTATACAAATCAACCTCAATTTACGATCTTCCAAAATCATTTTGTGGATTTTTTTATGTTTTCGTCCGTAACAGCCTCTTTTGGACGTCCACTGCGTTCATCGTCTTCGGTGCTCATATGGCCTGTACGGAATTTAGCAAACCACTTACGAATGGTTGCTTCGCCCGGCGCAGAGTCCGGATAACACTCATCAAGCCACTTTTTGGTATCAGCAGCACTTATTTTCATCAAAAAACAGTGTTTCATTAAAACACGAAATTCCTTTTTATCCATTTTTTTCAAAATAACAAAAGTTGCTTCACTCAAAATGCTGTATCTCACAAACTAATAATCAGACAGCTGTCAAATTTATACACGTTTCTTTTGAAGGTTGGTACTACCTAAAAATTATATGGATTTTATTCTAGTGGCGCCATCTCATAGAGACGATACGAACTTTTCAGCCCAACCAATAGATATCACATGATCGTAATGATCGCGGAACGTTAGCTTTTCATCAAACAGTATTTATTCCTAGATCCCTAACTACGGATTTTCTGTGATGTACCTGTCCGTTTATTTTGTAGTCAAAAGTAAGTCTCTTTCTTGTTGGTAACTGATAAGAAAAAGCATTTTCTTGTATTCAGATAATCTAAATTCGACTGAAGGTTTAACGAATCGCTGAAATTATCGGTAACAGAAAAAAGTTTCAAATCATCTGCATACAACAAGCATAGACATGTTAATTTATATAGTTATAAAATATAAAGGACCTAAATGGGACCCTTGTGGTTCATCCGATGTCACAGAAACAGGTGAGAATTTGGAGGAGGAACCTTTGATAGTAACTGATTCCTCCTGTTGAGTTATGATTCAGTTAATCTCAACAGACTCCGTTGTATTTCGTAACATGCGAATTTAATGCATAATGAATTATGATTCACTTTATCAAATGCTTTCGAGAAATCGGTATATATACTATCAACCTATTTTCTCTTGGCGAAAGCACTGCAAAGGTAGTGTTTGTATTCAAGTAAATTAGAAGTTGTCGATCTGTTCTTAACAAAGCCATGTTGTCTAAGTGATAGGAAGGGTTGAATATAGTGAGAGAATCATACACCAATGATTCAATCAATTTACCAAGGCAAGACAAGATGCTAATGCTCTTATCAGTTATCACACAATCTCTCACCCTACCATTCAAAGTCAAATCTATCATTATACAATATGTAACAAAAACCCTGATGTTCCCGTTAAGTGCGTTATCAGAATCAGTATTCTAACGTATAGAAATAACTTTTTTTAAAAACGACCGTTATTTTTTTTTAAATTATGTAATTAAAAAAAATTGCAAATTTTATGTTGTTTTATTATCTACTGACACGCGCATCGGCAAAGCGAGGTTTAGGTCAATCCTTTTACTCCTCGGACAATGCAGAGTAATAAAACCACATACATATTGCAAATTAGAATTTATTTAAATTAAATTTAAAAAATAGTCAAGATTTCTAAAAAAGTTATTTCTATACTTTAGAATACTGATTCTGATAGCGTACTTAACGGGACCCACAGGGTTTTTGTTACATGTTTTATAACCCTATCATTCAAACCAATAATTTTACTTTCATGACACTCACGTTAGGGCAGGGTCATTAATTTGTTTTGTTTTGAAAATATGTTTTATTTTAAATCATGGCAAAAAGCCTACCATATAAGCTTACCAAGTAAGTCCTTTGCTAATAGTTGCTTTATATTACTTAATCAACCACATTATTTGTCCCATAGGTTGAAGGCGTCGTTGTCGGCACGGATACTTTAGAAGAGAAGGAAAGAACGGAAAGAGCGGACGAGCTAAACCAGTAAGTAAATAAGACTATTTTGTCAAGTTCAAATAAAGTGGCCTATTTCCGACAGAATCGAGTTTTGAATGAAAATAATGTTATTCGAACTCATTTTTATATCGAACTCTCGAAACCGGAGCTAGTCTTCAGCTGTCCGCCGCTAGAAGGGGCTTGTAATCTAAAGCAAAGAAAACGGTTTTACTTGATTAGTTTGTATTTTACCACGTTTTTGTAACTCGCTTTCGTGTATAGTATTTTCGGCTCGAATTTGGGAAGTAATTATTGATTTAAAACTTAATTTAATAAATTCTTTTGATATTTTCTATAATGCCAAACCTCTTCATAGAAAGTAGTCCCTAAATATAAGTATCAAAAGTTGTCAAATTTGACCGCTTGAATTTGGACGGAATGTCGAAGCGGTCAAATTTGGATTTTTTGGAGAAGTTAAAGTAACATTAGTGTTGCTCCTGTTGTTGCGGATTGGGTGACAAATAACTTACATTGGGGTTGTAACATCGACACAATAAACTATGTATACTACTAATTGGTAACTACTTATTTGTGTAAATAATATTTACACTTGTGAAGGGCTGTGAATGATGATGATCATGATACGAACTATGCGTCATAAGCAATAGTAGTCCACGATGTAACTACGACGAAAAGATTTCGTAATATAATACTTCATAGTGAACTTTGTGATCAGAGTGGCGTGCCAAAAATATTGTGTCGCGTGCCATTGGTTCTCCATCCCTGGTCTAGAGACTTCAAGTTTTGAATGTGCCTCAGAGTCAGATGTAAATGCTCATAAGCTGTATCTATAATATGATTGTGCACGAATGAGTCGGCTCGACCGGGGAAGGACCACGCTCTTACAGCGTAAAATAGCAGCTTAATTCGTATGCTAAGTTTAGACAGTTGGAGACTCTTTTTACTGGAAACGAGGCATTCCAACTTAGTCCTCAGGGCTAACAACGTATCTGATTCTTTACCTTATTCGATTCTTTACTGACGATAGATGTAAATGTCTACGGGCCACAGTGTCCCCCTTTGACTGGACTGCGTGCTTGTTTGTCATCTTATTCTATAAAAATATTATCCCCGCCGGCTATTATTATAATATTTTTTCGTTGTCCAAAGCAAGAGTTTTTAAATGACGGCCACGTGGACGCATTGATATAGATATATGACGTAGGTAGATATAGATTTTGTTTTGTAAAGAAAATCGATCCAATTAAGGAGTTCCCAAAACGGTAGACTTTTTTATTTTGACATTTTTGTATAGATCTGTTTATAGCGGCGGGTAGGACCGACTGAAAATGTAGATGACATTTTGATTTTTAACTGAAAATAGATATAGATATAGATATCTACGGGCCAGAGCAACCATTTACCTTCAAGTGAACTGCATGCTCGTTTTTCACTCTTATTCTTTTTTAAAAAATTCTACACTTTTATTTAGTACTCATTATTAATAACTAATTATTAATGAACAATTATTAAAACCTTGATTTCAGACCACCACTAAAGGAAATAGAAACAGTGATCATAGAAGATGAAACTCCGATCAGTAAACACCCTATGATAATGCCTATGCCTCCACAGACACAAGAGAATCCTCTAAAAATCTCATCGGTCAATAGCATGAAGTCAGTTGAACCGATTCCGTCCAATTTATTGAACGTTGCGGTTGGTGCGGACGGGTTCTTGTATATACTGCCATCATCGGGCGTCCCTGTTATACCACAACAGCTTACCGTACAACAGCTGGAAACGTGTTCGTACACGTCACAGATTAATTCTGTTAATAACGGAGTCATCTCAGGCGCAGAAAACAGAACTATGGTTTCTGCTAATAACGGACTCATGTCAAGTGCAGAAAACGGTGCTATGGTTTCTATTAATAACGGAGTCATATCAAGAGTAGAAAACAGAACTATGGAATCTGTTAATAACAGACTCATGTCAAGCGCGGAAAAAAGAAGTACGGTGCCAGCGAAACAAAAGAGTAAAAGGCCAAGACAGCTCGAAGATGATCCTTCTAGAGGTACAAGTGATGATGATGTCATATTAATCGGTGATGAAGAGCCCGAAGCTCAGGAGCAAGTTGTCAAGTACCCAATCAGAATAGACTCCAAGGTCGATTGGGAGGACAAAATACCTATAGACATTATATCTTTTGTGGTAAGTAATATTTTTACTGCGTACGTTGTACCGCGTGGTGGCGTTGGCAAAATATCCACTGCTCCATACCGTCCCGTGGGTGTCGTAAGAGGCGACATAGATATGTAAAAACCAGAAGATGGTCAGGAGCTTCTTTTTAATAATAAAAAGAAAAAAATGCGGTTGCCAATGCAATATAAACTTCATATAACGACCGTCGATTTAACGACAAACTCCCTAAAGCGATTAAACAGTTTTTCAGGATTTGTTTGGGTTAGCTTGTCTTCTTGATACATTCTATATTATGTCATTACCCGCACTCTCAATAACGACAACAATTAAATAATAAAATTCACTTTTTAATTTGCATATTAGTAAAAACTACACAACTGTGTACGATCTATTGTTCTTTTGTCGCTTTATCATCCTAGCTCGTAATAAACTCAACTGTCGGCACCATACATACCAAACTCTCTAAGAAATCCGTTGTTGTGCTTACAAATTGGGATTGCTTGCACGTGTAGACTGTTGTTAGTAGGAGTCATGGATTATACGTTATCATATTCTCACTTGCTTTCTAACTGTAAACATGGCAAGTAAGAGAAAATCACTCTGTATTGACGAAAAAGTGTTTCTAACACAGATTTTCCTTCGGTTACATTTAACAAGAACACTTTATAACGTCAAAATATGCACAGTCCCTTGAGTGTCGTTATATAGAGTTTACACTGTATTTTCCTTATGAGCAAATTTAGTTTAGTTTACGACGGGCTGTTTTCCGCAACTCCACGTCTAAGCGCGTATTTTGCTTGTGGGCAGGAATAATGTGCTTATTCGAGCCATGATATCTCCCCCGAAGAAGGTAAACAGTCCTTTGATGTTGCAAGCAACTTCGGGGAGCGATCCCGGCGTGTCGAGATGTTTAGCCCTGTATGAAGTGACTTCTGGACATGTCAGCAACACGTGAGCCGCCGTTTCTTCCTCCCCCATGCCCTGCACAGGGGGCTGTCAGTAACACCTATAGTAAATAAATATTTGTTAAAAGAGCCATGTCCTGTGATAGCACTTGAGTAGGCAGTCCAAGACACACCGATTGTTTATTTCAGGCAGGGTCTCCCCAGCTTGTCTACTAGATTTTTTCAAAACTGAGCGTGTAGATTTGTAAAGTTTCTACGTACCAGTGGACCAACATTATCAAAAGGGATCGGTATTTAGATATGTGGGGATTTCCGTTAAATTAATTGCGTATATAATAGATAAAATCGCACCACAACTATCTATTATTTTTAATACTATCGAATCTGGCGTGTTTCTTGATTTAATGAAGCATAGTAAAATAATAAATACCTTTATTTAAATCTGATAGTACATTGGACCCCGCTAATTTTAGACTTATTTCTGTACTGCCACAACCTAGTAAAATTTTTGAAAAAAATATTCTTGATCAAATGTTAAATTTCCTTTGATGTAAATAATTTATTACTTAAAAATCAATTCCGTTTCACAAGGGGTCGCTCGACAACTGATACTGGTGTCGAGCTGTTTAAATATATCTTCAATGCATGGGAGAATTCACAGTATAAAAGTAAAGTTACAGACTATATACGTCCCACTGCTGGGCTCAGGCCTCCCCTCATTTCTGAGAGGGTTTAGAGCAAGGAAGTGTCCGCCGCGCTGCCCAAATGCGTGTTGACGAACTTCACATGTCTTCGAAAATATTTTTTTTGTTATTCCTCAGACATGCAGGTTTCCTCACGATGTTTTCCTTCACCGCCGAGCACGTGGTAAATCAGCACTTAAAATTGCAATTAACAATTTCATTGGTGCCGGCGGGGATCGAACCAGGGTTACTCGCGTTCTGTTATATTTACAGCGAGCGTTAACCACTGAGCTACCACGGCTCTACACAGTATGCTTTGGGTATATTCTGTGACCTCTCCAAAGCCTTCTATTGTGTTCACTATGAAACATTAATCAGGAAAAAATCTGAAAATTTCTCCATTTCGCATCAACATCTAAGACACAGCAGCATTGTGCTGCTATTACTCGCTGGTATTCTGTGACAGTGCAGTCTGTAGTCCCCGGTCTAGATTAATACGTGCTTCCATGACATAGATGAAGTATGGCTGTACCATGTTAAACTAGACACCTCTTCTGCCCAGGATTCCCTTTGGTTATGTAACCATTAACATTACAACCTATTAAAGTGCACTGCTGAACACAGGCCCCTCCCATAGATTGCCTTATAGGGAGTATATTTGCCATAGTTGCGACGCATGGCAAGCGGATTGGTAATTGCATTTTTTTAATTTTTAGTCGTTATTAGGAAGACTGACTTTGATTAAGACAGAGCTGTGGCAGCTCAGATAATTAACGCTCGCAGAACGCGAGTAACCCGGGTTCGATTACCGCCGGCATCGATGAAATTATTAATTGCAATTTTAAGTGCTGATTTACCACGTGCTCGGTGGTAAAAGAAAACATCGCAAAAAAAATCTGCATGTCTGATAAATAAGAAAAAATATTTCGAAGATTTTTGAAGTTCGCCAACACGCATTGTGGCGGACGTTCACGGGCGGCGGTAGTCACTTAACATCAGGTGAGCCGTGTGCTCGTTTGCCCCCTCTTCTACATATAAAAAATATTTGTAGGCCATACAAATACTTGTTCCGTGCGGGATTCGAACCCGTAGCCCTTAGCAATGAGTCGCAAGGATATTTGCAAAAGCTGCCACACTATGAAAGTGGGTTAGCAATTGCAGTTATCATTTTGAGTCAAGATGATGCTGCTTCCCATCACCTGTTTTAGTCACCCCCCTGTCGTCTCTCACGACACTCACGGGGTGATATAATAATAAATAATAATAATAATAATAATTTATTGTTTTCCGCATAACTTTTACAAACAAATCATATTGAAGCTCTGTAGCCCGTGGTAGTTGAAAACTGTGTTACAGACTACAGCATCTTCCCCGTTTCAGTGACAGATAGTTGTAATGCATTTATAGCAAACGGTATAAAAAAAATTAATTAAAATGACATCAAAAATAATCTATAGGCTAACAAAGTAAAACAAGAGAAAAAAAAACAATAATAATAAGGTAAATAAAAAGTGTGTGTGTGTGTGTATGTGTGTGTGTGTGCGTGCGTGCGGTGTGCGTGCGTGCGTGCGTGCGTGCGTGCGTGCGTGCGTGCGTGCTTGTGTGCGTGCGTGCGTGCGTGCGTGCGTGCGTGCGTGCGTGCGTGCGTGCGTGCGTGCGTGCGTGCGTGCGTGCGTGCGTGCGTGCGTGCGTGCGTGCGTGCGTGCGTGCGTGCGTGCGTGCGTGCGTGCGTGCGTGCGTGCGTGCGTGCGTGCGTGTGTGTGTGTGTGTGTGTGTGTGTTATGTGTGGGATATTCTTACATCCTTATGTGGTAGAGCCACGCTGCAACCATATTATAGTTGTAGCACAAATGGATCGGCTTGACCGAGGTAGGACCACGCTCTCTCACAATACCAACGTAAAATAGCAGCTCCATGTTTCGTATGATGAGTGCAGAGAACCGAAGACCCTTTTTACTGGAAACAAGGCATTTCATCTTAGTCCTCAAGGGTGACAACGCATTTAAAAAAAAGAATATTAACAATGCTATAAACTTTACTAATATTCCCCTAACTAACCACTCGTGATAAGCTTAAATTGCTTGTGTTACGAGTGGTTCACGACAGTTTTCTTTTTCTTTTTGAGTTCGCGGTCCGCGTTCTGCCATTAAACTACTGTCGCTTTTTTAAACATTTTGATTCTTAATCGAGGACAAAAATCTACGGGCCACAGCATCCACTTACCATCAGGTGGACTGTGTGCTCGTTTGTCACCCTATTCTAAAAAAAAAACACTACACGAATGAACTTACACTATTATGTAATTATAAAATGTTTTTTTTCTCTACAGGACAGTAAATCATCGAATGTCACCTCTAAAGTTAAGGGACCAAAGATTAGCTTGCACAAGAACATTCAAACGAACATGTGAAACTGAAATAGTGTGCCCGGATCGGGAAGTTGGGACCTAAGTGAATGGAATTATATGTCATGCAGATTGTCACGCAGTGTCGTTATAATTGAAAAGTTGCCAATTAAATAAAAGGTTTTCGCTATCTATTGTACGTATAATATTGTTATGTGTCGGATTGACGTCCTACGGACTGTGAGAGTGAGGGAATAGAGAGTGCACTATAATCCTGTTCTGCTGCAGATGGTTAACCTACGTTGAGAGTGGCCGCCGTGACCGAAATTCTGTCTAGACGACATTATTAATTTAAACAATTATTTATTCTAAATGTTAATTTACTTTTTCACTACGAAGGTTCCCTTTACAAACAGACTCTACCTTCGACCACAAATACATAATATTAAAAAACCCCGTTGATATAATGTACACTCGTGATTTTCTTTTTCTTTTCAACTGACTTCAATAAAGAAAGAAGGTTCTCAATTCGACTGTATTTTTTATGTGTTACCTCCGAACTTTTTGCTAGCTGAATTGATTTTGATGATTATCTTTTATTTGAAAGCTGGTGCTTCTCGTGTGGTACAATATAAATTTGATCAAGATCTGACCAGTAGTTTTTGAGTTATCCTTAATAATGCGTATTTAATACGACTTGGACTACATCGATGACGTTCTCATTTTATTTATATTGAAGTCAGTTGTACAAAATGTTTAAATTTACTAATTTTATTGTTTTAATTCTTAGTATTGTCGTAAGTTGAATTTTTATCTGTAGAAATATTTAACTACTACTTTCTGAAATCTTACATTATTATCTTTTCCTTAGTATTTAGCTTTAATATATTTGAGGATAACATTAACATAAATAGTGTATTGATTGTTTAATTGATAACCAAAAAACAAAACTCAGATTAAATATTTGAGTATGTAACTACTGTAGTTGATAATTTTTATTTCCATGGGTTTTATTGTATATATAGTAAAAAGAAAATGTTTTAAAATTGATATATAATTTAGATTTTTGTTATCAAAAATGCTAATTAATTAGTAAGTAGTTACAAAAGATGTGAGTAAATGTTTTATACTTTTATTAGTAGAATTTGTATGTATCGTGCTGGCAACACTGGTATTTCTAGCAATTTGTGGTGGGCGAAATACCTACTAATATTTTCTATAAACACACTGAAACTTGTATTAGTAACCGATAATTAGAATTAACATAAATTGTAAATAATTAGATTTAAAAAGCCATGCACCTCAAGAATCGTTATTTTCAAGTGAAAATAAAATTTATTTACGTACAATTGTTTGTTTATTACATACATCACTACCACAGAAGTAGTAATAACAAGACAACAGAAATGAATTAGCGCCGCCTTTCAAAACCGATTTCGCCACATCTTAACACATACGCATTAAGATTAATTAACACTCTCGAACGAATTAATTAACACTATACACGCACACTACAGCATTTGTATTCATTGCATTTACGCATACCATCAAATTGTATACGTGTCGACACTGGTGTCGCTGTCTACATTCGTAAGCAACTAACAAGCAACAAAAAGATATTTTTATCGATAAATGTCTTTTAATTTATTTCAACCCTTCACAAGTCCAATGCCGAACATAGGCTTCCCCTAAGGAATGCCACAAAAAACAGTCCTGCCACCTGCATCCATCGACTTACTGCATGTCTTATCAGGTCGTCACTCCATCTAGTGAGGGGTCGCCTTACCCTTCGCCCGCCAGTACGAGGCTGCCACTCGAGAACCTTTTTCCCTATCGGTTGTTGGTTCTTCGAGCTATACGGCCGGCCCATTGCCACTTCAGCTTTTTTATATAGAATAAGGGTGATAAACGAGCACACAGTCCATCTGATGGATAGTGGATACTGTGGCCCGTAGATATGTACATTTATCGTCGAATAAGAATCAAAACGCAGATGCGTTGTCACCCCTGAGGACTAAGATGGAATGCCTGATTTCCAGTAAAAAGGGGTCTCCGGATCTCTATACTCACCATACGAAACACAATAGTATTAAGCTACTATTTTACGCTGGTATTCTGTGAGAGCCTGGTCCTTCCCCGGTCGAGCGGACCCATTCGTGCTACACCCATAATATAGCTGCAGCGTGGCTCTACCGCGTATATCGCTTACTTATCCGTTGCGATATGTCGGTAACTCTGGTTTTACTGCGGATATTCTTATTTCTAAGTTTATTGTGCAGAGAAACCCCGAACGTAGCCGTCTCCATAGCTTGCCGAGCTACTGAGCTTCCTCGTAAATTTAGGTAAAAGAACGTACTGAGCTAATTGATTTATTTTTAATATGTTGAATAATGTTTAAACGTGGTTTAAAGATTAAAGATTTATTTTTTTTTACAATATTTTTTTATTCTGTACATGAATAATTTTTCTTTTGGTTGTCATGTCATTATCCTACACTATAAATAACTGATTTAAATATATGAAATAGAGTCCGCCTTTTTAAGGTTTTTCTGAATTTATAAAATTAATTTCCGGTATTCATTGTATACCATTTGGCAAGATTTTTCAGTTAGCCCAATGGTACCACGAAAATGTACCTAGGAACATCTAGCGGATTTTAAGAAAAAGAAAAATCCTGTTTCTAGCGGATTTTTTCTGTCAGTCTAGGGACTTTAAAATTTGTAGAACGGCAACCCTGATTTCGTTTACTAAGAGTAGGTACGTTACTAGCACTATGGGAGATTTCCATGTTTAAAATCAACGTAATGAAAAAAAACTAAATATGGAAAATATCAATTCATTCAGTTCACCAATAAATACATTCAGTTATTACAAAATATAATTGCACAATACACGCAATTATACTAAACACTCAAATGATACAATAATAAAACTAAAATTCATTATCAAAATCCTAGGCCTACTTTTTTACGCATAGACTCGTATATTTATACATTTGCCACTGTCAATATATAATAATCCTCCATACCGAATTTTGACCACGGCGGCCTGCCTCAACGAAGGCTAGCCATCAGCGCGGGACAGGATTATAGTGCCCAAGTGTATGCGCAAGCGCAAGTGCACTCTCTATTCCCTCACTCTCATAATCCGATGGGACGGTAAACCGACACGACCGGAGAGAGATCAGGCGCAGGACCAACGGCTTTACATGCTTTCCGGGGTACGGGGGTGAGACACCGCCAACTTCCTGACTCCGGGCAGCTACTGAGAATTTCTTGACAGAAAAACTCAATAAATGATTTTTTGGCCTGACCCGGGATTCAAACCCAGGACCTCATGATCAGTAGTCGCACTACTACAACCACTAGACCAACGAGGCAGTCAACATATATTATTGCATGTATAAAAAGAAATTATCCAACATATTACTATGTTTCATTCTTTACAATATGCTAATGCGTCACATTGCAAAGATTTTGGGAGATTTTGACGACAGCTCGACCTTCGACCTCGATAACGACAGTACCTGAAGTTCATTCGGCGTGTAAGCGAACAATATTACTCTAGGTTTATAATTTATATCAACATCAAAGCACTTGTGTCGTCGTTTTTACTAATAGTTCATATGCGCAGACACTTAATAAATAGAATTGCATCACTTTTACGTATGAAAATCCCCTTCAAACCAATAATTATAATAAAAAGTAAAAAAAAAAAATAAAACGGGCAACCAACCGTCTACGATCTAGTTTTTTTATTGAATAAAACTACTTTTTCTACCAATTTAGTAGAAAACTATTTTTTATTAAGCTTATTGATTTCCGGATAAATAAATAAATACAAAAGAAACCTAAAAATAAAGCAAGTTTTAAAATTAAAAATTTTGTACAACTAGCTTCAATATAAATAAAATAAGAACATCATCAATGTACCTATTCAAAGTCCATTAAATACGTATTATTAAGGAAAACTCAAAAACTACTGGTCAGATTTCGGTCGAATTTATATAGGACCACACGAGAAGCACCAGCTTTGTAATAAAAATCATCAAAACCAGTTCACCTAGCAAACAGTTTTGAAGTAAAACACAAAAATATAGTCGAATTGAGAACCTCCTTTTTTTAAAGTCGGTAGAAAAATATTACAATAAGTAGTATACTAATAACAGAATAATAGTACTTTCATTGTATTTCTAAAAATAAATTATTTAAAAAATATACTTACACAATATTTTAATAATTCTAAATACCATACTACAACTACATTCAAATTCATTTGTTAATAAAACACAGTTTTATCAAGCGCATAAAACAGACAATAAAAAAATAAAATTAAATATGGCCGATCATTATTTATGTCAAGGTAAATTCTAGATTTGATTCAAAACTAAAATTTACGATTCTTAAATCATTTTAGCTTGTATACGTCCAAATATGGCTATTAACAGATGCAAATTAAAATTTTTATAATTAATTTATAGCTCAAACTGTTCTTGATGCTTTTAAGTCGAGGCATTGCCAGACTTAAATGGGCACAGGAGGAATAAAAATCAATGATATTTTCGATGTAGTTTCAATAATTTATTTTCAGCTACAAGAAATTATAGGAGTTTAATTTTTACTTTAACGACCCAGCTAGACCAGAACCGAGAGAGAACCGTTGCTCGGACTGTTCCTCCTTTTACTCCTCCATAACTTTTTTAGTAAACTTTTAAAGGCTGTGATGGATAGATGGATATATTAGACAGTCGATTATTTAAATTATTTTAATTCAAATTTGAATTTAATGATCAAATTAATGTCAAAAATTTTCAACGAAACAAATTAAACACGAACTTTCGATACGTTAGACGGCATAAATAAATCAACATGTCATTATTGACATCAATAATTTATTTCTTTAATGAGATTATGACACAGTCGTAAAAATAAACCGTGTGAGACGTAAAATACACAGAAGTCTTTGTGTGACACTACAATGGCATAAATCCGCTTAGATTTTGACAAACGCCCATAAAATGAAGGTAGTCGAATATTTTCCTTACAAACGTCTTACTGCACACTAGA